ATGAATGATAGGGGAGTTTCATATACTTTTGGTCCTGATAAGGTTGCAGAATTCTTGATGCAACACGATATGGACCTTGTTTGTCGTGCCCACCAGGTATTCATATGATTTTGCTTCTTTTTTGTGTTCCCTTTATGTTTTCCCATATTGACCATAATATTCTGAACCTAGGTTGTTGAAGATGGTTATGAATTTTTCGCTGAGAGGCAGCTAGTGACAATATTTTCGGCCCCAAACTACTGTGGTGAATTTGATAATGCTGGTGCAATGATGAGTGTTGATGAAAGTTTAATGTGCTCGTTCCAGATACTGAAGCCAACAGATAGAAAACCTCGGTTCTTATGAGGCAAAAGTCGATAGCTTTTATCTATGCCCTCGCAGAGCACCTAAGGTTAGTAGCTTGATACAATCTTATTTCCCTTTATATATGCAACACTTGTGCTGTTTCCATGATAGAATTAACAGCCTGTCTTAGAAATGTCTCATTTTTGTCATCGGTTAATTTCATGATATTGAAGTGAAAGTGTCTTTGGCTTGTCATTTTCCTACTCTCAAATTATTTTGCCTGATAAGGTAAGATTTTAAACAGTATCGTATCAAACTGATACTGTAAAAGTACTGAGATAATGCTGGCTTGATTACATTAAAATCCCTAGCAGTCTAGCTTGCATGTGCACCATTTTATTTGAATTCATAACAAAGTTTATATCTTTCCAATAGTTCAAGTAATGCAAACAACTATATTTCAGACCTTCTCCTTTTGCTTTCAGAACAACCTCTTATTTCTTTCTTTCCATATTGTCCAAACTATGCTAAGAGGAATAACTCTCAGATCTTCTTTAGGGGTGCTTCTGCGAGCTATGAACTTGCCGTATAGTCCAGCAGATGCCACAGTTAACTATGAACATGGTCTACACTTGCCAAGTAAATTCACAATGCACAGAAATATGATCCATAGATTCACGAGATTTCTCACACTAGTAGCATCTGCTGCACATTATCCAACCCCTTCTCGTCAAGTTTTCTTGAGTTAAACATGCTTCATGAGATAATAGTCAACCAGAAAACGGAACTTTTGTTGGGAGTGTAGTTGTACATTCTAAGTCCACTTTTGTGATTGCACTGGCTGAATTGCATTGATTTTTTTTTATAAAGTGAGCTGACAATAAAAGCACATTTACTAGCTTTCCACAGTAGGCATTCTGGCAAGTGGCAACAACACTACTGATTGCATCTTCTGAATGAATAAATACTACTTCCTGCATTTTCCTGTCAAAGAGATTCCTTGTGAACCGGATGTCTATATCAGTTAAAATTCTAGCTAAGAGGACTTCAGGATTATATGCCAGTCTGTACAGATTGGAAAATTGATTTTTCTGCAAATCAAAGCCATTGCAGTTATCTTCCCAAAGTCCGATTGTCTCATTGCCTACCCTCAAGACAACATACGTGTTGAATTACTCCTAGTTCTGTCTCCAAACAGCCACTCCATACGTGTTGAATTACTCCTAGTTCTGTCTCCAAACAGCCACTCCATATGGAATCTTCACTGCTTTAGGTTCCCATCAACCCTCTCTTCCATAATCACCTCTACCACTGCTTTCCAGATAACTTTTTCCCATCATTTAACCTTCATAGCTATTTACATAGGAAGCTCTGATTGTAACCTCCATTCTTCTGATTTTTGTCTCAATGGTCCACTTTACTAGATGAAATTTCCTTGTTTCTGGATTACCTTCTCATAGGAAGTGCCTTAGTGGATTCTTCTCCACACTAGCTGGCGTTGGGATTTGAGACATTAGATAGGATGGGATACCATCAAGAATACTATATAGTAATGTCAAAACATAATCACTTTAAAGGTGTAACTGCTGTACATTACTTTTTCACGCTCCCATTCTGCCTGGTTTACTTTGGTCGTTTAGTCTGTCCCACTAGGGCTGAATAATTTTGTTCATTCGAAAAGATACAATCTTTCAAAAATTATTTTAGCATATGATCAGGCCTAAATACAAAACTGATTCTTACCAATCAAGGTAGGTCCCTTAATGTGGTAAGGAAGTACTTCTCCATCAAGACCGATAAAAGGTCACTAGATGGTTCACTTCTAGATTGGTTTTACTTATCCCGAAATTCCCACCTTTTCTCTCCTATGACACTCCATAACTAAGCTTCAGGAAAAGAGTATGGTGTTTGTGGTTCAGCTACTTTTTATCCTCTTCTCAAGTTCAATATGATCCAAAGAAAAATGGTGGGGTAAATAAAGCTTGTTGCGATTATATTTGACATGACCATTTGGTTGATACTACTTTAATGAGTATTCTGATTAAAAATGATGATGCTTTTTGAGACAGAAGATTCATTCAGGATATGTGGTATGAAGTATCAATTTTTTACTTCTTCTTTTTCTAACAGCGCACAAAGTTAAACAATAACCACAAAAAAGTACAGTCATTTACTGCTGTTTTTTATCTGTTTACTTGGTGGATTTTCTCCCTTAATCTATTTTTGTTTGAGTTATTTTCCACTTCCTTTTTGGTTTTGGGGTAAAAAAACACAACTAAAACCCTGTTATATGGTTTATTATGAAATGCTCTATCACTTGGAATTTTGCTGCGTATCCTGCTGATTTGAGAGTTTATATGTGAGAAATTGTTACCAGAGAATCCAACTTTGAATTACCAGTATTTGTACTACAAACCAGTGAGTCGATCTCCAATTTTTGCAAAATTTTGAATTATCTTATTTTACATTTGATATCGTCTTCTTGATGTTAGTGTATTTTGCTTTTGCTGTTCAAGTTATTCCCAATCTGTCAGCTATGTTTCCTCTTTTTTGATAATCGAGAAATCATCAGAAGCCGATGACACATGGTTCAAAACTAGGTGGATAATTGACCTGTTCCTCTATCCCTCTCAAACTAAAATACCGTTCTTTTTCATCTACGTTGGAGTTTGAACTCGTGAATATGTGTAACTCGCTCATCACATGCTACGCTCTTACCACTAGACCAAAGCCTTGGGGGCAATTTATTTGACTGACTTATCTTTTTGCAAGGATGGGGATCATGTTCTATCTGATAAATAATGATGCAGATGAAGATCTTACTACCAGCAAAAATCTTATGCATCCATATTTTGCTTTCAACATTTCTTGTTTCTTTATCGGCTGAATAGTGGACCTGAAAACATTATGGAATTGACCATAGTACTTGTGCATGTGGTATTTAGGGAAAAGTTATCTGAAAAGCTATGTTTCTGCGATCAGTTATGCTAAAACTTGAGCTTTTGCATCGTTTTGCATTATGCATCTTGAACAGATGTTTGTTTTTCTTTAGTTAGTCTTTAAGAAGTTTATCTTGTATGCAGAAATTCTTATGGCTGGCAAAGAGAAGTTGAAGATGAAGACAACTTCTGGGATGTACATCGTATGAGTATGTTTTAGAACGGAGAGGAGCTAGTTGTTTTGTTAAAAAAGCCTTCTCTTCCGAGCTAAAAAATCGAGGACCTAACTGTAGTTTTGAGGTGGCCTCAGGGCCACAAACTATTTTCATTTTGAATCTGTCTTTTCTTATTTTACTTAATTTCATGCAATTTATGAATTAAAACCCTCTAAATCGGTATGTAAATTGCGGTGCAGATATGTAGATTGTTGATACTAAAAAATTGCTCTTTTGCAGCAACTTCCTTAACTGGATAGTAGTTTCTCTGAGTCTTTATGGTTTGGTACTGGTTCTTATTGACCATCTGGTGTTGAAGATAATTAGATTCGTTCTGCAGTTGGGGACGTAGTAATTCTATAAATGTGTTGGTGGGAGGTAGTAAATCGATATATGTGTTGGTGGGAGGTAGTAAATCGATATATGTGTTGGTGGGAGGTAGTAATTCGATAAATGTGTTGGTGGGAGGTAGTAAATCGATATATGTGTTGGTGGGAGGTAGTAAATCGATAAATGTGTTGGTGGGAGATAGTAATTCGATAAATGTGTTGGTGGGAGGTAGTAAATTGATATCTTGTTTAAAAAGACCTATTTTTCCTCAATTTGTTACCTTTTTCACTCTTTATCGTAGCCCTTTTCCTAGCTTAAGAGCCACATGTACTGATATAAATTTCTTCGTTCTTAATCAGATATGTTTGAGTCTTTGAAAATGGAAAAAAAAATCTTTTAGTCGGATCCTATTACACTGGGTCTTACACATATATAAGTTTGTGTAAAAGACTAAAATCAATTAATCCATGTCGGACTCAATTAAAACATCAATTAAGAATGTGTTATTTAATCTTTTTAAAAACGTAATATTTAAATTGATGAAATATAAATAAGAACGAGGAAAGTACAATTTTACATCGAATACATTTGACTCTCTCATTACCTAGGTAGAACCGAACTCTACCACCCTTTTATGAGTTGAGGTAATTATTGCCATATGGAAAATTGAAAATTAGATATTTAACTAGATGCCTCATGACATTGATAATGATACAAAAGTAAGAAAGTTGGTATTATTCATTTATTTTTTTAAAAAAAAATGTGTTTAGCAAAAAGAGAAATAATATACTGTATTTATTTGAAAAAGGGTATTTTTACTCATTAAATAATAATAATAATAATAATAATAATAATAATGATGATGATGATGTTTTTGGATTAGACTAACAACAGTAAGGATATTTTTAGATCAAATTATTTATTGAAGATACTTTTATTCAATTTCGCATAGTTCAAAAATATTTTAAACTCTTTTTCATATTTTAATGAAGGGCTTTACAAAATTCCACTAGTTTAAGAGCTAATTACTTAGAAATACACTACTTCGCGATATTACGAATCATAACAGATTTTGGTGCGTTCAAATACGTTTAGATTCATATCTCTTGGGATACACTGGTCAAAATTAAGCATAATTTGTTCTAGATACAATGTAGCTAAGTGAACTCACATGTATCTGAGATATATAAATAAATCTCATTCGCCTCCCTTCTATTGTCTCTTGCTTCTCTTCCCATTTTCGTGTATTTGGTATAAAAAACATATATCAATGTGTATCTGACTTGAAATCTGAAATGAAATTATTAATTAGCGAGATGCAATATAATAATTTCAAACTATAGAAAAAATCAATAAATATGATGAAAGTATTTGTCTAATTTCATTTAACAGAAAGGGCCAAAAGTACCCTTAGACTTTAAGGAAAATGTCGAAAATTATTCTTTATCCATCTTTTAATCTAAAAATATCATTTAGTAATCTTTAGCCCTTTTTAGATGAATAGAAGGCTTTTTAGAACAAAACATCAATAAAGGATATATTTTAAAACCTTTCCCGGTAGTTTAAGGGTATTTTTTCCCCTTTTCCATTCTTTTAGTTAAAAAGAAATAAAATATTTTTAGTAGTTTGAAGAGGTATTAAAGTTTGAAAATTATTTGTGATTAATTTATCCAATCAACAATACAAATACTACTCAAATACAGCAAAAGTTTAAGGTTTAAGACAGAGAGAGAAAAATAACAATATCCTTTTGTAGAATCTTCATGATTGAGAACATCCAAGCAAAAAAGGGCTGACCTAGAGTTTCCTTCCTAGCCAACAGCTCGCAGCTCTCATGGCTGCTACGACCACTGGATGACTTCCTTTCGAGGCTGTCGAATCCGCCCTAACACATACGCCACCTTTTTCAATTCCAACACTATAAATTGTAAATAATATGCCCTAATTAACTCAAAAACAATCGCCAAAATCAATCGAAATAATTCATGGAGAACCCACTGTCACGTTTTCAATGGAGGAAAGGCAAGATTGTATGATTGAAGTGGGATTGTATCAAACAGTTGTACTTAAATTATCCCATGGTACGCTAAATTTGGAGGTATTAAAGTCAATTTTACCGAAACATTTTGGTACAAAGGACAATTGTTTAATTGACTTACTTGCTCCAAGACAAATTTTGTTGAGATTTGATCAATATGAAGATTATGTACTAGCTTTATCTCGCTCAGTTAATTATCTTATATAAAATGGAGAGGAGCACCAATATAGGGGTTTCTCTTGATCCATTGAATATAATCCTAAGAAGAAAACAACATTAAATGTGGTTTGAATTTCTTTACCAAACTTATCTCCAGATTTATTTGTAAAGAAGTCTCTACTATCTATAGCATCGGTAGTTGGAAAACCAATAGTTATAGATAAAGCTACTCAAATAAAATCAAGACCTAGCACAGCTAGAGTCAAGATTATACTTGATCTAATGGAAGAACTTCCAAATCGTATAAGATTGCAGTTTATGGATGGAAAATCTGAGATGTTGATCGAGATTTTTAAGGAGATTGTATATGATAATCTACCTTAGTATTGCAATTATTGTAAGCACCAAGATCATGATGAAGAAAGCTATCGTTGATCTCGAAAAGAAATCAAGATAACTAACAAATTGATGATACCATTGAAGTTGCTTCAAAAGGTACCATCGATAGTGAAAAGTATCAAAGTGATGCAAGATAAATACTAAATGAAAAAAGAAAGGTTGTAGATGTCGATCAAAGTAAAGCTATTTCTTTAGATTGATAATTGATTACTGTCACTTTTGAGTGAAACCGTGCACAATCAATGAATGTTGTTAGAAGTAATATTGGTATTCAAACAACTTTCAAAAGCAAAAAAGGAACGCCAAGAATTGGGGTTGATGCGCCGCGATTTGGTTCAGGTAAAAAATAATGTATTCAGGACACAAACTAATGGATACATCTGATATTGAAGATGCCGACAATTCTGGACAACATGTTTTGCAAGTTCAAATCAAGAATGCGACAAAAATTGGACAATGGTTGCACTCAAAAATTCAATTATTAATCATAGCCTTTTTCCGACTAGTCAAAATAATTTTCCATGTAGTGAAAAGGATGCGACTAGAAATTTTCATGACAGTGAGAAGATGCAAGATATTAATAATGCCTCAAGAGACCTATTATGCTCGAATAACTTTGATGCTTTATCGAAGACTATTGAAAAGCAAGTAAAGTTAGTAGAGAGTCATGACAACGATTTGATCCAAGAAAAAAGGTCTCACCACCTACTTTGAATAGTAAATTAAGTCCAGAAGCTTCCATATTTGTGCCTAAATGTGTGTTGCAAATAAGAATAAGTCAAGGGCCTTAGTGTCAAATACAGTTAATTTGAGCGAGGATTCATGAGGAAGATATGCTGGACATATGCTTTGATAGAGTGGTTAAGGAAGGATATATATCACCTAGACGACAAAGAAGTGGAAGCAACAAAAGCAAAAAGAAGACACATGTAAGAAAACACAATTGGGACAGTAAAATGACTGAGGAGTTTGTTCCAAGGCACCTACGGATGCGGCAGACAAAATAGAACCATTTGACAGTATCAATAGGTTCAGTAAAATCCGATAAATCCATAAAGAGAGTACGAATTATCAAGTGTTGTTGGATAGGTTTGAAAAAGAATACAAAAAAAAATACTTCAAGTTATTTTTGACGGACAATCAATCATTTTTAATTCATGCGTTTGTAACAGAAAGTTTGAAGCTGATATATATTTATATTATTTAAGCATACTCATTTGAAATATCATCATGAAGTATATTACAAGCTCTGCAGTGATTAGAAAACATTTAATCCTCTCTAGGTTTTATTTTCTTTATGCTTGTTAGATAGTAGACGTAAGGTCCTTCATTAGGATTACGAAAAAAAATACCTAATCTAAGAGCTAAATTAGGAAATAATTAGCTAAAAATTTTAGGAGATAAACTTTGGTCTATAAAATAGGTTTTTGGTCCAATTGTTGAGATACCCGGCGGCCCACTATATATAAATCTCTGTCCGTTGTTCATAAGCTTCACTTGTTCAACTTGGATCAACAAACGTAGCTTCTTCTTCTTCTTCCTCAATCATGTTTTTCCACATTGTATTGGAGAGAAACATGCAGCTTCATCCTCGTCACTTTGGTCGTGATCTTCGTGAAAAACTTGTGTCAAAACTGATGAAAGATGTAGAAGGAACTTGCAGGTTTAATTCATAAAACCCTAATTTTCGTTTTTTTTCTCTGTTTCTTATTGATTTAATGTTGTTAAAATTTTGAATTTGGGTTTTTTTTGGTTCAGTGGTCGACATGGTTTTATAGTGGCGATTACTGGGATTGAAAGTGTTGGAAAAGGATTAATTCGTGATGGAACTGGTTTTGTTACTTTCCCAGTGAAGTATCAATGTGTTGTATTTCGACCCTTTAAAGGTGAGATTTTGGAAGCTGTTGTCACCATGGTTAACAAGGTAAGGTCTTTCCCCCCCCTTAATTTGCATTTCTGTTAGCTTCTGTGTGTTCGCTAGATTAAGCAATTACACAGAATTCAACTGAATTTCGCTTATCGAAATTGGTATCCAAACCTTTTTACAGTGGTTGGAGTTGGAATAGCAGCAATCTTCTGAAAAACTAACTTTAAATTTGCCTCCAACGAAAATTTACTTTCTCTTCTTTGTAGGAAATTTTGGTTTTAGAAAAAAAGGTTCTGATAAGAGACAGGTGGTTAATAATCCTGCTAATATGTACGAAAGGGGAGAATTTTGAGAATAAGAGAGATCGAGAAGGAAAGATATAGCAAGGAAGATTCAATGGGTTCGTGTAGAGAATGAATTGAGTAGTTGAATCCAACTAGTTTGAGATTGAGATTTAGAGGGATTGATAAGCATATATAATTTTTTTTTATGAGTGATTGATTGATAGGTTGATCTATAGATACTTTGACTTTATAATAGAAGTAACTGATGAACTGACGCATCAAAAAGGACTTTTCGAAGCGCGGAATCCCAGAATGGAATCATTGCAGAAGAAAGGTTAATCTAAGAGGACACATGGTTTCTAGGAAAATAAGAACTGCATTGCCTGCCACACATAGTATTTTCAAGACATAGAGCTGGTCTTTTTTCTTTTTTTTAAAGGATACCAGTATCTATTTGTATAATCCACAAAGAATCTGCTGCAACTGGTTCACTGTCTTGGTTACAATGCCAATAAATAGGCATGGGTGGTGGTCTTGATTTCAAGAAAAACGTGGCTAAAACTTGCTTTGCGATAGCTGAGTAGCTCGGCTGTGGTTCTGAGAGAACTGCAGAAATAAAACCAGACAATCTCCCATCAGGAACTATTTTGGGTACTTCATGATTGTGGAATATTGCATATGGAACTTTTGCATGGAAAGTTTTTTTCATTGCATTAATGTTAGTCTTGTTAAAACCTCTAATTTGGTTTAAAAGTTAAAATTGATTACTACAAGTTAGGAATAAAGTGGGCCTGAATGTATAGGAATGGATCTAGAAGATTCATATATATAGTCTGATTCCTTAGGTTTGAGTTGTAGTTGATTGATTGGTTAATGTTAGTTAGCTCTTCTCCATCTACCCTACCTAAAGATATTTATCCGTGTGGTATATTGCAGATGGGATTTTTTGCTGAAGCAGGGCCTGTGCAGATTTTTGTCTCAAATCACGTGAGTTTGTTCTCCATATTTAAATATTTAATCCAGCATGTGTTCGTTCCCACACATACACGACATTTTCTTAGTGTGGCATATTAAAAGCTCATTCTGCTATATGCAAGATTGCATGAATGAAATGTACTGATTAGAAATATATTAATGAAATGTCTTCTGCGTGCATATCTATTGTAAAAGCATGAAAATCAACTTCTTTTAGGAAGGTAGTTGTTGATTCTTAAGAGATTTTTTGTTCAATCTTCATATATGTTTCTACATTTTCTTTTTTGTGTTTATTTTTCCTTGATTTGGAAAATCCTTTGATGATGCAAACTCTTAATGTATTGGTTGGGACCGTAGGTTTCCATCACTACAACAAACCTTGATATATCAAACTTATTCTGTTTTCTAACGTGTTATAATTCCAATAAAAGAATGAAGAAGGAATCTAGAATTCAAAAATGGGTAGTCTCTCATATGATATTAGCTTTAGCTTGATTTGAATATCTAGTTTAAGATTATCTACATAACTGCTAAGTAGTCTACAGTGTGTTTGGGTGTGTATATATATACACACACACATATACATTTCTCGTGTGATTCTCAGCAACATCATTTGCACTTGTTAGATGTTCCACCAAGCTAATTTATCAATAAATAAAATAATTTTTTTTGTCAAGCTACATAAGTACTCTGCCAAATCTAAATAGTCCTTGATTGTTATGCTTAGGATCAAATTTTTCATGGAACTCAAGTTAGACCCTTTTATAATTAAACTGTATTGAGTTTGTCACCTTAAGTGAATTTCATTGGTTCCTAGATTATTTAAGAGGTGTATGCATGACTAGTCACTAGTGGTGGTAGGAATTCCGACGGAGGAAAAAGGATGTGGCCTAGTGGTTAACTAAGTGGATACAGACCTTTGAAACTAGGGTTCAAATCCACGCAGAGACAAAATCTGCAAAAAACAATGGAATGATTTCTTCTTATCTGCCTATGCCTGAGTGGGAAGAGTTACCCTACAACTCTGCTGGTGGGAGGTAGAAAGTACCTGGTGGATAGTGTGGGTGAGCATAGGCTGGTCTACACACCATTGTCATCAAGAAAAAAGTTGGTGGGAAAATGTGAGCATCTAGTGGGGATAGTATAGTCGTAGAATACTTTTGTGCTACATACTGAGTTTACCGACCTGAAATTGCCTGAAAGTAATTAGTAATTACTATTGCTCATCTATGTCCTAGTCTTTTGAAGGTTTCTTATGAAAACCTGGCCCCAAAAAGATAACCACTCCTTTATCTGTAGCTACTTATGCAGCCAGGCATGAGACAGAGTCTGATCAAGAGCCTCTTTTAGTCTTTCAGTCATGGCACTTTGGTATATTTTAGATCCACCAACCAGAGAAATTTTTAGGACCACCAGATTACTTGGTTCTGTAGTCTGAAATATCGTAAGCTCCTTTTATCCGATAAGATTTTTTCCTGATATCTAGCTAAAAAATTATCCAGGCAATTAAAGGAAAGCATTACTAATGCGTCAGGCTTTTGTGCTCTGTGATTCCATGACCCAACTCGTTCTTTAGTTCCTCTACAAATAGAAACCTCAAGAACTCCCAGACTGTGCTATGAAGCACTCGATTTGATGCATATAGAAGTTTCTTATGTGTTCCTACAAGACATAAAGCCTCTATGCATGCAAAAGCTTATTAGGCCTTTTTCTCACATCTGTCTATGTTTGACCCTTGGATTTTCAACAGTTGATACCTGATGACATGGAGTTTCAATCGGGGGATGTGCCAAATTATACAACTTCAGATGGTTCGGTATGCCATTTGTTTGCTCTCCTTACTTTATCTCTTCTTTTGAAAAAAATTAGCTTGTAGCTGTGATTCAGTAGTTTCATTTATTCATCTTTTGTAGGTTAAAATTCAGAAGGAAAGTGAAGTTAGATTGAAGATTATCGGAACACGTGTTGATGCCACAGAAATTGTATGTCAGCAACCCTCCTTTTTATTTTGTGCATTTTCCTAAAAACAGATCATAGGTACTGCAACCTTTTCCTAAAAACAGACCACAGTCCCAAAGAGAGTTTCTGGCAAAACTAAGAACTCCAAGATTTTTATTTACTAGCATTGCATGGATTCTTTCACTCCCTAACATGTTTTCCATGTCATATTGTTTCAGTTCTGTATTGGTACGATAAAGGATGATTTCCTGGGTGTGATCAGTGACCCAGGCACAAATGCTTGATACGCACAAGATGTGCTTAACCTTTGTATATAGATGCTGCTGCTGTACCTTTTCAAGGAGAAGTGATGTTTTCATGGTTAAACTATTGTGTAGAAGAAGCTTCATGTAATTTCCTATTGAGAAATGGATTCTTCACTGGCTCTGATTAGAGAAAATTGCCCAATGCTGATTTGTATTCTTGGCCAGATTTGTCTCTGCAGCTAGATTCTAAGTTGAGGTTTTGTTTTAACTTATGATGTATTGTCAATGGAAGTCCACATAGGTATTTATGAGATGTTCATCACCAATGTTGGAAAACTTAGAAGATTATATTTCTGGTTATGGGTTAATTCATGATACATTTCAACAGTGTTTTCCATGTGATCGCCCTCGTCTTAGCTGATGTTGGTGCCACCACCATGAAAATGAGGAGGAAAAATAGAAGTACTTTCTTGCTAATTAGCATTGTAGAGTCACTAGACTTTGTACTCTGTAGGAGTTAAATTAGTAGAATGAGAATGCATATATATTATATATAAGTCTCCCATAAGTGTTGTGGTAGTGATTCATCTGGCACTATACGTTTACGACAATAATGCTGTCCATAGATCAAATTATTTTTTCGTAGATTGAATTGTACCTTGATTGTCTACTGGTTCATTGCGTGTTTTTGGGGATTTTGTTTTGTATAAGTGTATCACTATGCTATTGAGTATTTTTATCTCTTACTAAGAGGCGGAACTGAATAACTTTGTTAAAGTGTAATGATCATACAATTATAATGTCCAATAATAGGTTTCATTTTGCTACGCTTTTCTAAAAGTTGATGACTACTCATAGCTATTACCTTGCCACCAAAGAATAACTTGATCCAACGCTTTATTGTTGTCCTAGTTGCTCTTGATTCGACATTAGAAGTCCGTTGAGGGGTCATGTTATTATCTTTCTCCTGTGATGACCTTTTTGAGTTCATAGAACAAATGACGTTAAAGGTTTGTGAACCAATGATACATCAAAATCATTTTCTTTATTACATCTAACATTTAAACATTATTATAATTTTTTTATAAAAAAGAGTATTTCATCAAATACTATTAATAAATAAGTTTTTATAATTTTTTTTTTTTTGATCACTTCCCTTTCAAATTCAAGAAAATTGAACAAAAATAGTTTTCTATTATAGATGGAGTTTGGAAAATGTAAAAATGAATCATATATAGAGAACTATAAGAAGGGGTCCATTTTATTCTTCATAAAAATAATCATACAACATATCATTATTTATTTGAAGTGATTCCCTATAATATACACATAAATTATAACAATGAAAACATCATTTTTTTTCTTTACTTCACCTTTGAGCAATCAACATCCTTGCCAATTTTGAAAGGAAGGTTGGCACCACATTTCCCAGGGATACTAGCTAGACGTTTTACTTGTTCTTTTGTGTAAGCTAAAAGCTTCATGCACGAGCAAGCGCTTTGACGATTTGCAATATTTGTTACGTTAGAAATAAGAGATTTAACCTCGTTACAACATTCTGATGGAAAACTTCCACCTAACAATGCATATCCATGACAGTATGGATGCATGATATTATGTACGATATCACATGTGATCGCCCTCGTCTTAGCCGATGTTGGTGCCACCACCATGAAAATGAGGAGGAAAGATAGAAGTATTTTCTTGCTAATTAGCATTGTAGAGTCACTATACTTTGTACTTTGTAGGAGTTATATTAGTAGAAAGAGAATGCACATATATATTAGTCTCCCATAAGTGTATTTTACACGTTATTCCCTACAAAACCTCAATCCATCACATAGACCATAAGCTAGGTTACGGCATGATATTTTGGAAAAATTATCTAAATACACAATTTATTTTATGATATTTTTTAAAATTACATACCATCTGATTTTTTTTACAAGAATCCCTTTTCTCTCTTATTTTTAGATACATCACTTTACACAATGTATCGAGACGTTGAGTGGTGTATCCAAAATCAAGACGTGATATATCGAGACGTTGAGAAATGTATCCGAAACTGAGACGGAATTTTGGGATTTATATTGGGACGTTTATATATCTTTTGACTTGCAAAAGATAATCAATTAATTTTGCGATAGAAATTTCTTAATTTTTTTCCATCCTCTTATTTTATTTAAGCATAGTCACTATAATAATGTTGAATTTAAAAACAAATTTTTAATATCCCCTCCCCTCACACTAAATCGATCTTTAGAAGTTGATATTTTAATGATAAAAATCGAGAAAATACAAACTCAACTTTGGAGTTCGATTTATTTAAAAAGGAATTTTGGCAAAATACCGACCTTCAGAAGTCGTTTTATTTTTTAAAATTAATATATTTTTTCAAAATACCAACCTCTTGAATTTATTTTTCCATTCAAAATTTTTAAATTTTGGATTCAGTAATTTGATAATTGTTGGTTAAAAGTAGATATCAAATATCAAATATTTAAATTAAAGTCCAGTAATTAGTAAATCAAAATTTGATTCGGTATGGTATTCAATATTACCATATCGAAGTTGTATACGGCTGTATTACAAAGTTAAAACTATCGTTCAAATTATTTTTATATTTCTATCTGGAGGCACAATATAACAAAAGATCAACAGATAAGAAGACATCAAGAAAATCAAATTGACACAACTAAAAGACATATGCATTTAAGTTATTTATGTTTAGTTTTTAACTTTTTCTTTAGAGTTGTACTAATGAGTAATTAACCTGTTGAATTGTTGATATATACCTTCATTAAGTAAATAGCTTGATATTCGGTAATATCGAATACCAAATGGTACTAATGTCTCATACCAAACTCAAATTCAAATCTTATAATATTAGAATTTCTGTTTTCAAATATCATACTGAATACCAAAATTACGAAAATATTATTGTGATTTGATAATTAAGTTTTAAATATTTTATATTGTTACGTCTCAACTCACCGGATCGCGTGTACACCTACTCTAAAACCTATATAGGAGAACTCTTATGCCCAATCTAAAACAAGTAATGTAGAAGTAAACAAATATAAACTAATCACCCTGCTTAAATACAAAAATACTCTTAAACTTGATTAACATAAAGTACCATTAAGAAATACACAAAACCCTCCTACATAACTATCCAAAAAAAGGTACAAGAGCTTTCAAGAGAATAAAAAATTTAAAATTAATAAAGACACGACTAACACTGTAAAAGAAGAGAGGTAAACCTGTTGGTGATTATCTTGATTAGAAATATCAATGTTCCTGCAACCAGACTATGTCATGTGACATAACAAGAATAGTATTAGTACAAACTATTCGTATCATTGATCGATCAGAATTCACCACGTACTATCATACAAATAATCAAAGAAACATAAAACTTAGAGATATAACTAGGACCCCAATCTTCCAATGAGATCACCTTTGATACCAAGTAATACGACTTTAAACTCATACGTTCTATCTCAAGTCACCCCACCTCCTTTCGCTACCAACTTCACCATCTAGGCCCTTTCCCCCTCATATCATATCATGATTTAATGACGCAATATGCCATTACATATGACATCCCTAGTAGAAATATATTTTATTGTTATGTTATTTTAAAAGAACTTAAACAAAAAAAAATGAAACTTTTAATTGACATTAATTACCTTAACCGATCTCTTTAAAATTTAAACCTCAAGGTAATATTTGAACCCCTAAATCACTTCTAACAAATTTAAAATTTATATATATAATTAAAAATAAAAAACTTTTATATATGCAATGTTGTTTTCTTAAAAAAAAATCCATGTGAACACCCCGTTTCCCTAGATTTGCCCCAGTCATCAATTTACCCACTTAAAAATAATAATCTTCAAGAAAAAGTTTGGTAGACTTAATTAATTGCGTTTTTTGATGATATTTTTTATCGATCTAAATTTTTTCGACCTTTTTAAAATTAGAACCTCAAGATAAATCTTGAAATCCATAAATCATTCAATAAATTTATAGTCTTGTGTTCAAAAAAATTTAATATATATATATATATATATATATATATATATATATATA